CCTCCTCCTCCTCCTCCTCCTCCCTCCCCCTGCAAATCCCCCTCCCTTCTAGCACTGATGTTACCTAGTTGGACAAAGAAACTCTGTAAGAAAACCACCAAATTCAGAGAACAACAAGGGGTCCACACCCCCACTCCTCCTCCTCCTCCTCCTCGTTCATCCCCCCCCCATCCTTTCTAGCGCTGATGATGTTACCTAGTTGGGTGATGAAATGTCTGAAAGGAAACCACCACGCTCAGACAGTACCAAGAATCCCACGCTCTTCCACCAGCACCCCTCCTCCTCTTCCTCCCTGCCGTTCAAACCCAAGGATCAAATCAACTTTCCCATTTTAGGCCACTTTGGGGGTGGGGCGGGCGGCTTCCTCTTAGTGTTCCCCTTCCCCCCCGCCAAATCTCACCCTACCTGTCATCCTTCAGCTGCCTTCGTCCGACTTCTCCCTAAGCACCTGGAGAAGACATTCACACCGTTCGCATCCGATGCAAGTCCTGTCCCACGCTACTTTTTTCCAACTTTGCTGCACAGCGGCAGCGAGCGTAATAGGAAAAAAAAAAGCCCACAAAACCTGCAAAGATCCACCTCTTATTCTGCTGTTTCATACCGGATCCCTCTTCCTGACCCACAAAACATGTCTTTTTTCCCCCGCTTTGGACCGAGTGTGATCTCCGCTCCTAATCAACCGTGGCTTAATCCTCTTTTTCTCCCTTTTTTCGTTGCCTGCCGCTTCTTCCAGAGCCATTCCTCTCCCCCGTCCCGCTAAATTCCCACCATCTGTGGCTCCCACTGCCCTCCGTTCCAGGGTTATAAACGCCTGTTTACGCCGTGGCGCTTTCCGAGCTCCGCTTGCCAAACACGTTGCTTCTTATTAATTAGCTTTTGATAAGCCGTTTATGTTTTTTTAATTAAAGCGTGCGCCGGGGCAAAGAGAGAAATAGGGATGTATCTCCCGGGCAGTTTCATCTGCCACTCAAAGATCTTCCCAGGGCATGGGCGGCGGAAAAAAAAACACATTGCCGTACGAAGAAACCTGCGACGCCGGCTTATTTTTTTTCACTGCCAATTGAAAATAAAAGGGGGGCATCGGAGAGTGAAGGTTCCTTCTTGTCGGTTGGCTTTGCGAACCATTTCGTTTGTCAGGCTGCGTAACATCTCCAGCCGAAATTCTGCTGAAAATGTTTGGAAAACAACCCCACAAGATTGGAGAAGGAACCTTCACCCTCCTTGTCTACTATATGGAGAGTCTCAGTCCTACAGGTCATGGTTATCCCAAAGGTACTTTTTGTTCACCTGGATTTTCTGGTTTTTCTTTGAAGACGTTTCGCTTCTCGTCCACGAAGCTTCTTCAGCTCTGACTGGACGATGGGGAAGGGAAGGATTGATACTCCTTGCAGACA